ACGAGCATTAATTGTGGGAGAGACTAACAGCCAAATAAAAGATTTGATTTTTCCGGGTTGTCTTTTCATCTAACCTTTGAACCTCGGTCGGAGAGACATTCCGCATTCGCGACGGTATGTTTTGATATCGTGATTTATGAGTAGTGCGCAATCTGTGTTACTGTCTATTGAATAACCAATTTTTGGATGATAAAGCCCAGCCATCGAATAAAACAAATGAGAGAGATGCTCATCAATCTGCCATTGGACACATGAGATTCCCCGAGCACAATAAGTTTCACAAATGTCAAAAGGTCAGCGGGACTAAGCGACAAGGCCATTTGCCTCTATGACAGAGGGAAACAAATGACGTCTGGCCGGCTGTCGGCTGCCTCCCGGCTCTCTCCCATCCCCTCCCCGGCGGCGGCCGGTGACAGCGCCCATAATGGGAGACACTACGGGTGCCCGAGCTCGGCGTCCGCCCACACGGCGCCTCACACCGGTCCAGAGTGACAGCTGGGCGCGCCACCGCACCTCCGTCCTCAGCGTCTCAGTCCCCAGCTTAAAGCTTCTGTAACCAAGCAGCTCGCCGCCTCTGTCCCCAGCTCAACTTCCCTGTCCCGGCTCACCAGTTTTGTCCCATCGCCCCGACTGTCCTAAGTTCACTGTTTCTGCCCCCTGCTCACCGACTCTGTCGACTATCTCTGCACTGAGCTCACCGACTCTCTCCTCTGTCCCAGTCCTATACACAGCTGGCCATGACAAACCATCCACAACCGATCCCCATAACAGCAAACGGTTACGGCTGACATATTGTTCGACAGTAGCCGCGGGGACCACCGCGGCGCTGACCAGTCCACTCTCACCCTCTCACCCTCGCACCTTACATATTCAACTCATAGCGGCGACGCGGCTATGGAAGGTTAGGACCCTGCCCGGGCGCCACTGAACGTGACCGGAGCAAAGGGAGACGGGGGTCGGAGACAGATAAATCACCCCGCCGACAGACGCGGGGCAGACCCTGACTAGGGGTGGTGCGAAGGGGAGTGTAGGAACGGGCGCGCCGCTGGCAGGAGAGCCGAGAGGCGCGAACGGCAGTCGTCGACTGCGACGGACGGCGAGTGGAGCAGAGAGTGGGCGAGAAGTGAGCTAAGGAATCCGTGCGGAGTGCCAACGGCTACGAGGATTATCCGATCACGCACTCCTTAACGCCGACATGGCCGCCGGCGAGTGGAGCGGAGAGCGAGCGAGAAGGGAGCCAGGGAAGCTGTGGGGAGTACCAACGGCTACAAGGATTCTATGGTCAGGCACACTAACGCCGGCACGGCAGGTGAGGCGTATCGAGCACGGCTCGGGGGTACGTACAGCGGAGTGCGGTTCCTTGGCGGCGACACCACGAGGATGGTTGCCCGGCGACTGACGCGGCGCCACCATGAGGATGGTTTCCCCGGCGACTGACGCGCATCTATTCAGAGGCATATTAAGCGCACACGCAATCGTAAAGGAAACTGGGGAGCCTGGTAGGCACGCTTTGAAGGGTCGTGCAACGCGACACCCCAACCTGCGACGCGATACACACAAAACACCTGGTTCCGGCCACCCTACAACTCATGCACACACATCAGGTCCGCCGCCGACCCCTCGGCTACTCTGCAACTGCTATGCGTCCGACGCCCCGGCTACTCCGCACTGCACATACATCAGGCCCGCTGCCGACGCCTCGGCTACTCTGCAACTCACGCACATACATACCCATGCACATGCATCAGGTCCGCCGCCGACGCCTCGGCACGCACATACATCAGGTCCGCCGCCGACGCCTCGGCACGCACATGCATCAGGTCCGCCGCCGACGCCTCGGCACGCACATGCATCAAGTCCGCCGCCGACGCCTCGGCATGCACATGCATCAGGTCCGCCGCCGACGCCTCGGCTACTCTGCAGTAGAGATGTCCTCGGATATAACTTTTCGGTATACCGATACCATACTGATACCAACTCGGTACTTGCTAATTGATTCCTAATGTGTTCGGTATTTTGTTGGTATAATGCACCATAGGTTGGTACTTGGTTTGGTATCGGTATTCCGATTTTCCGTAGTCGACGTCCTACTCTGCACCGCACATACATCAGGTCCGCCGCCGACGCCTCGGCACCCACACGCATCAGGTCCGCCGCCGACGCCTCGGCTACTCTGCTGTAGAGATGTCCTCGGATACAACTTTCGGTATACCGATACCATACTGATACCAACTCGGTACTTGGTATTTGATTCCTAATGTGTTCGGTATTTTGTTGGTATAATGCACCCTAGGTTGGTACTTGGTTTGGTATCGGTATTCCGATTTTCCGTAGTCGACGTCCTACTCTGCACCGCACATACATCAGGTCCGCCGCCGACGCCTCGGCACGCACATGCATCAGGTCCGCCGCCGACGCCTCGGCTACGCTGCAGTAGAGATGTCCTCGGATATAACTTTTCGGTATACCGATACCATACTGATACCGACTCGGTACTTGCTAATTGATTCCTAATGTGTTCGGTATTTTGTTGGTATAATGCACCCTAGGTTGGTACTTGGCTTGGTATCGGTATTCCGATTTTCCGTAGTCGACGTCCTACTCTGCACCGCACATACATCAGGTCCGCCGCCGACGCCTCGGCACGCACATGCATCAGGTCCGCCGCCGACGCCTCGGCTACTCTGCAGTAGAGATGTCCTCGGATACGACTTTCGGTATACCGATACCATACTGATACCAACTCGGTACTTGGTATTTGATTCCTAATGTGTTCGGTATTTTGATGGTATAACGAACCATAGGCTGGTACTTGGTTTGGTATCGGTATTCCGTTTTTCCGTAGTTGACATCAATACACTGCACTGCACATACATCAGGTCCGCCACCGACGCCTCGGCTACTCTGCAACCCACGCACACACATCAGGTTCGCCGACAACGCCCCGGCCACTCCGCAAATCACGCACATACATCAGGTCCGCCGCCGACGCCTCGGCTACTCTGCAACTCATGCACATGCATCAGGTCCGCCGCCGACGCCTCGGCTCCTCTGCTACTCATGCACACACATCAGGCCCGCCGTCGTATAGCCTCAGCCACCCCGTAAACTCTGCACCGGCATGGGTCGAGAATATGGTATGGCAGGCATGGCACGCGCCGCACCAACTTAAAAGATGGTATACTTTTCAGGGTAAAAGCTACGAAATTTAAGGATTTCAGTTTGATAAGAATAAAACACGATAGTATTGTTCCGAGCAACTGGCGCCATACCAACTTTGAAAACAATTCTCCACCCATGTTCGCACGTACATGAGGTCCGCCGCCGACGCCTCGGCTACTCTGCAACTCACACACATGCATCAGGTCCGCCCCCGACGCCTCGGTTACTCTGCAACGGCACATACATCAGGTCCGCCGCCGACGCCTCGGCTACTCTGCAACTCACGCACACGCATCAGGTCCGCCACTGACGCCTCGGCTACGCTACAACCCTTGCACGTAAGTACATCAGGACCGCCGCCGACGCCTCAGCTACTCTGCAACTCATGCACATACATCGGGCCCGCCGCCGACGCCTGGGCTGCACTGTAACCCCTGCACACATCGGGTCCGCCACCGGCGCCTCGGCTAATCTGCAACCCATGCACACGCATCAGGCCCGGCGCCGACGCCTCGGCTACTCTGCAACTTACAGGCGCCAGGTGCGCCGCCGTCACCTCGGCCCTCTGCAACACGGTAGGCACTTAGCTTACTAAAGCGCATTTTAGCGACATCAGAGCCGGAGTCGATCGCCGGCGACCTGGTCACTCGTGGAGGTGTTCACCGCCGTACCGTACAACACGGAACGCAGACCATTTAGTCACGCCGGCGATTCGATCGGAGTCTGGCAGGCGTAGTTCAGACACGCTATTGTCATCGCATATAACATCTTGCCACGAAACCGCTGCTCGGCAACTCGACATTCTTTTTTTTTTCGCCGGGACTGGAAAACAGCATCTCCTTTTTTTTTTGTCTCAGAGACCAGCTTTGGGATAATGCCCCTTGTCAAAACAGACCACGCATTTCGAGAAGCGCTTCCGAACGCAACCTGATGGACATACGCTGCCGCAGAAACACATCTCAGCCAGTCACCTTGGAGGCTCGGTTTAGCACTCAAGGCGTCTCTTTGTAAAAAGGTCTCAAAGTATTTTCTAAGTGGCCGCCTCCGTATTTCTGCAAATCGACATACGCATACATCCGGTCCGGCGCCGACGCCTCGACCACTCTGTCTACCGCCTCCGTATTTCTGCAAATCGACATACGCATACATCCGGTCCGGCGCCGACGCCTCGACCACTCTGTCTACACTACACAGCTGGTCCGCTGCCGACGCCTCGGCTACTCTGTCTACACTACACACCTGGTCCGCTGCCGACGCCTCGGCCACTCGGTCTACACTACACACCGGTCCGCTGCCGACGCCTCGGCCACTTTGCGCTTAACACGCACGCACACACACACACACACACGCACCCCCCCCCCCACACACACACACATACACACCCGGTCTGCGTCATGCATCGGCTGCTCTGCAACTCGACAGGCATCTAGCTATCGACAGACTATGAACTTCTTTCGTCCAATGTCTGAAATACTGGGCTCAACGGTGGCAGACGAGACCGAAAGAACAATCCGCACACACTGAGAAAACAGTTTCTCCATTTTCGGTCTCAGAGATCAGTTTCGGGCTAATGTCCCCGATTCAAAACAGATCACACATTTTGAGAATATTTTCTGAGCAACGCCATTGATCGCAGAAACAGAGCTCAGTCGGTACCTATTTTCGGTGTCAAGCTTTTAAAAATTAGTCTCACTATGAAACCAGTTTCCAGTCCGAACCCCAGTTTCGGTATCGCTTGAATCCAGTATTCGGGTACATGAGCCCTTAGGAAGCCTTACTGAAACCGTTTTAAAATTCAGACACATTTGAGGCTGGTTCAGCGCTCAATTGAGTCTTTATTCAAACTGCTCTCAAAGTGTATTCTGAATGCAGGAATCGAGCAAGCACAGACAAAATGCATGCAAGATCATGCCCGGACACAACTACACCGACTACGCCGCTGCCTGCCGGCTCCCCAATCTCGAGACTCCGAGTAAGCGTCGCGACACTGCAATCTGCGGCAAGCTGGCAGCCGACACTTTCGCGAACCCTGCCCACCCACGGTAACCCGTGCGAGCAGCTGCCAAATGTGAGTCCCCATATGCGCTGGCAATGCAAAGTTGTCATCCCGCAGGCCAGAACGGAGGGGCAGAAAAGTCATCGGCGCCCGTGCTCACAGGCCTCATGAACAGCACGTGATTCTTAGGTAGGGGTAGGTGCATTTAAAGTACGCTAACAATGCACCGTTCCTACTTTCCGTGAGGTGAGGCACTGTGCTTTGCGTGCGGCGCCATCACAGCACCGGAATCTATGCACAACCTTTTCTACCAGTCATTCACGGCCACATGGCCATACAAACCTCATTTATGTATGTGCGGTCGTATAAGCACGTAAACCGGGTCCGCCGCCGACGCCGCGGCTAAGTTGCGCGCAACATAGGTCTACGGGACCGCTGCCGACGACTAGATAATCTGCAGCACGATATCAAAGGCGAAACCAGGCCACTGATCCCAGATTCGCGGCATTCCATTTTAGCCAGCACCGATGACGTCGGTTTAGGCGCCGGGAAGCGTGCCGGGCTAAACATCACAACCCCGAGGCCGCGAACACGGGGGTCCAAGACCGACACGGGGACAAAACCATCGGATCGGACCCCCCCCCCCTCACCGCAGTGTGTCCAGGCATGGCTTCACACACACCGGAATATCAGCGCACGACACGGCAGGGCCGCCGGGAACCACAGTCGCCCTCCCCCCCCCCCTCCCCCAAGGCCGCCCGCGCCGACCGCCAGTCAGAAAAGACAGCCATCGGCGGAGCCAGAGCCGGCCGCCGGCCGCTGGCACAGCCCCGGCACCGCCATGACACCGGACCGGCTGATGAGACAGTCAACGCCGGGGCAGCCGCGGGCCCGCCTGCCGGTACTGTCCGCGGGGCCACAGAGGCCCACAGTGGGGCCGCCACGGTCCTCAAACCGGGCGACAGCAGCCTGACGGGCCGCCCCGCCGCAACCTGATACCAGCCGACGCCGCACGACCCGGCTCCCCCGCTGTCCCCCGGCGGCCACGAGAGGCAGACGACTAACGAACACCCCGAACACGGTCACGTTCCATTAGTGGGTTGCGGCGCCCCCACGCCGGTCGACAGTGAGTCACTGGCGGCACTGTGCGGGGAGTATGGGGTCCAGTCACAGCTGACTCAGGACGGGAGCCGACCTTGGGGTGGAGGGAGTCCCTCGCCGCCCCGGTTCACACTAACTGGTTCGACCCAAACTCACCACCAAGAGCCATGCCGCAATAACAGACCGGGCATCGCCAGCGGAACACACTGGGAACCTTTCCGCATGCGGCATGTGCCCGGGTTCGTGGTCAAACCATTAACTGCTCAGCAGAGATCGAGAAGGTGTGGGCAGCGGACGCTTAGCCTAAGACTTTTTCATTCCATTGGGTGTATTTGGCGTTTTTTAGGGGCCGTCCTACCCTACAAACGAGCCGACGCGAGTGGTTTCGGCCGCTGACAGCCAACTGAGGCGAACGCTTGGTGATAGTGGCGCGGGCAACGGGGGCCTAATCAACTCATAGCGGCGACGCGGCTATGGAAGGTTAGGACCCTGCCCGGGCGCCACTGAACGTGACCGGAGCAAAGGGAGACGGGGGTCGGAGACAGATAAATCACCCCGCCGACAGACGCGGGGCAGACCCTGACTAGGGGTGGTGCGAAGGGGAGTGTAGGAACGGGCGCGCCGCTGGCAGGAGAGCCGAGAGGCGCGAACGGCAGTCGTCGACTGCGACGGACGGCGAGTGGAGCAGAGAGTGGGCGAGAAGTTTCCCACCCACCCTCACCTTTTTAATAGATGCGACTTCGAGATTCGTCAAACCTGCATATCCTTAATCCCGACCATTTACCTCGTCGTTATCACTCCGTCGGTGCGTTTTTTAGGGGCCGTCCTACCCTACAAACGAGCCGACGCGAGGCAGCGTGGAGGGGACCGTCGCCGACTCGAATCCAAACCTCGGCCGACGCGGGTAGTTGGCGGCAGCAGAGCACGTGGTCCTCGGCTCCTTTTCTCCGTCCGTTTCACTCTCTCCTCGGAACGCCGCTCGGGAACGCAGCGCACCTGGAAAAAGGACGGCGCACACCTGCGTCAGAATCGGCGCACCGTACCTCATCTGCCTATAAAAAGGCCAGTGCAATAAAACGTCGTATGCAAACGGGACTGAAAGGCTCTCGGAGGCGGCTCTCGTTGGGCCGTGGGAGTGGCGGAGCGCGGGCTCAAAGGGTGGCGTCTCGTGCGGCGGACCGATCGCGGCCAGGTGCTGAGCTCGCGGCGCCGTCGGCCGTCCCCAGAGAAGGCCCAACGGTGCGCGGCGGCGGCAGTGGCGGCGCGGCGGCCGGCCGGCCAGGTGGTCCGCAGCGGCGCGCCCGTGAAAGGCACCGAACGCTCATTGTTTGCACCCGAGCCGGAAATTTATCGCCAGAGTAAATCATACGTAAACGGAAAACGGTCTCGGTAAGCCGGTGCGTCGCCGGCGGAGCTGCTGAAAGGCGGTGGCGCGGGCCACGGAGGGCAGGGTCGGGCTGAGGCGACCGGCGGCACAGCTGCGGGGGGCTCACACGCGTCCTCAGCGGCGCGCCGCAGGAGGCGGCAGAGAGACAGAGATTCACGCCACATGTAGACGGCAGAGAGACAGAGATTCGTGTCGGAGGTGCTGTCTAAAACAAAAAGAAAACAGAGTTGAATTTTAAGGGTTCCGGGGTGCTGAAGGAAACGACATTGATTAGACAGTTAAGGCCTGGCTACACTATGCGTTTTCTGCGTGCGTTTTTTTTTTGCGAGTTTGCGTGTTTTGCGTAATATCGTTCTAGAAAAAAGTTATTATTAGTTTAACTTCTTTAATATTTATATAAAAGTTAATAAAACGTTTATGTTAACCCTAGAACGCCTAGGGGGGGGGGGTTGTATCAACCCCCCCCCTGAGGTTTTTTCAAAGTGCACGCTAAACGGCTTGTCGTAGCGGGCTGAAATTTTCAATACCCTCTGGGGCAACCTTTGCGCATCTTTTGCCGAAAAAAATTGATCGGGTCATGTCAGGTCACGGAGTTATGACGTCATAAGAGGTACAGCCTCCGGCCGACAGTTACCAAACGTGTGCGCCGAATCCCTAGGTTTTCTGCCGGTGATACCCACATTGTTTGATGGATCATGATGAAACTTCCCATGCATGTTGGGGCAAGCATTGGCTATCGTGTGGTGCAAGAAAATTGACCGGGTCAGGTCAGGTCACGGAGCTATGACGTCACAAGAGGAACAGCGTCCGGTACTATTTTTGAAAAGCGCCCGAACCACTATTTTGCTAATTCTTGTCACCTCAATGGGAATATGCAGCAATATTAGCTTCTATAGGGAGCAAATGGAACTCCCAAATCCAAAAATACAATCAGATTTCAAAAATTTAAATTTTGATTTTTCGAATTTCTGCCGCCGACTGTGACCTTGCCGACTTCCGGCGCTCCCAACGCGCCATTTTTAGAGCTAGGGAAACGAAATACATACCAAACGATAGAGAATTGATCAAGGAACACGATAGTGAAGGTTTCAAGTCGATATCTCCCACCGTTTTGCCGCAATCGCCGCGGAAAGTTGAAAAAGTTTGATTTTTGCGGAAAATTTGACCTTTGACCGGTCATAAGTAGGTCAAATGTTGACCTAGGACCAAAAAATATACCACCAATCGCGAGATCTCGTTGAGAGCAATCCGTTGGTTTTTTCCGCTAAGCTCTACGACCTTCCGTTTCGAAACGCCAGGGGGGGTCGTAACAACCCCCCCCCCTGGTCGTTCGTGTTATGAGAAATGGCCTGGTCGTGCGAGGGTTAATTAAAAGTTTATATATGAAAAAAAAAACATAAAACAAAAACGTAATGTCGTTTCTTTCCAGAACGATATTCCGCAAATCACGCAAACTCGTAAAAAAGGCATAGTGTAGCCAGGCCTTTATACCTAAAATGTTAAAATCTTTCACGAGTGAAATCTAAATTTAAGCTTTTGAAATGATTGATTAACTTTTGAAATGTCATAAGTGGTTTTCTCTTGTTAGCCTACCTAAAGCATTAGGTGGCTTAAATATGACTTCAGAATAAATAAATAATTTTGACAACAAATAGCATTGCCAATCGAAAATCTGCTTCCATGTTATTGCGGCTGTTTGTTTGTTACTCGATTATTTAGATAAATTGATGTTTTATCCCGTCTGAATGTCAAACGACGATTTATTCGAGCGAAATAAATCTATCCTGCCATCTGAATATCTCCCCCTTTTCAGTCTCCCCGTCTCCGTTTCTTTCGTTCCGGTTCTGCGGGGCTCGGTTCCATCTTCGTCCTTTATCCCGGCTGCGGGGCTGGTAACAGCTTATTTGGCTTCAGCGCCCTGCCTGCTCCCTACTTGAACACATCTGTCTCACCAGGCGTGGCCGCACCGCGGCTTATGAAATCTAAGCCATTGCAATTTGGCCTTGTTGAATATGAAAAATTGGCGCCGTAGGGTCGAAGGTGGTGCACTTCTGGATGGCTAAATAGACCTTGGTGGCGCGCGTGCTGCCGAGAGCGGTGGCGATGGGCGTTTGATCGGTGGCGGGTCGGCTGGGCCGAGGGTCGGGCCGCGGGACGGTCGGGCTGTTCGACTGACTGGGAGGGGAGATGGGTCTTGGGATATCCACTGGCGCTCAAACGATTCACGCACTGCAACACGGAAAATTGACGAGCAGGTCGATATGTGTGCTGTGTAGCTCGTCGGAATCGGCGTTCCATGCTTTCCTAAAAAAGCAAAAAAAAAAACCTAATTGCTCGAGCATGTATGTAATGAAATGTAAAAACAAATCTATTTGCTAATCTGGAAAAGGAATCTACAGCCACTTGAATTTGCGGACAACTCAAAACACTTGCAATAAATTTGATTTGATAACAAACGTTTTCATTCTTCCACTCACAGACAGATTCCTCTATAGGCATAGATAAGTCTGCATTCCAACACCACCCGAATTTCGGCAACAAGCCTGGAAAACGCATCACCCATGTATTTCAGCAGGAACAAATGAACAACAAATTAGCCTGTGCACGAAAACGCCAATTATGGCCCGGCTTAGAGGACAGTCGGCAGGAAGTTGATGCCGGGCCAGGTGGTATATGGAACCGCGCGCCCTGTTCTCTATGCATTTAAATAAACATGCTCAGGTAATTACCACTCGAAGAACAGTTGGCCATTAGAGACATGGACCAAGTGATAATTATTCAATGCAATCAAAGAAGTGATTGTTGCTTCGCACCACTCAGCCCCAAACAGATAACGTGCATGACTGTGAGGTCCAAAACAACCCCGATGGCAAGGTAATAAATCAACACAACAACGGAACCACCTCAAATGGCATTGCATGCTTCAGATGTGAAAGATATGCTAATGAACCCCAGAAATGTTGCTCTGTCTGCGATACATGAAACGTCAAACTTAATACGTTAAAGTTGTTCTGTTCGCCTCAAACTAAGAACACCTGGCCATGCCTGGCTTCATGTTGACAATGTCTTGCAGCTCCCTGAGCGCTCTGCAATCTCGTTCACAGGTTGGTTACGCTGCATATAAATAACAATACACAGCAATAAACAGAATAGAAAAAATAATTCCCAACATAAAAATAACTTATGAAAATATGGATCCCTACGGTCCAGTATTGGTCAGTCAACACTAAGAACTAGCAGATATCCTCTCAAACGTCCTTCATTCCCAAAGCCAGATCCACTCTTCCATACGTACCTATTCAATTCACACGCTCTGAGCCGAATGTCCGTGGTCCTGTCTGCAGATGACTCTAGCTCACACTGATAAATATTGCCGACCTCTATAGGACAATTCACGACTGCACGCGTGTGACATCCTCTCAAACAGCTGGCTCATCAGTGCACACTGCGGCAGTGCGCAGTGAAAGGGGTGCGCGCGACGTCCGCCGCGCCTCCGACTGTCCATCTCTCTGTCTGTCTCTTCGTCCATCTCTCCGTCTGTCTCCTTGTCCAAAAGGCAGACAGCTGCCGCAACCCGGCTGCAGCGGCAGTGGCAGCTGGTGGATCCGCTCGGAGCGGCAGCTGCAGCGGACGCCGGACTCTCGATAAGTTCTGCACCCGGTCACCAAACAGTGACGGTATAAGGTCACAGCCATGCGACCTCGAGAACATCTTCAAGGGATCTCCTCGAGAACAGGTTCAGTTTAGGTCGAGACAAAAATCAGCCAATGCTCCGAACTACACAAAATCTTGTCGCTAAGTGCCGAAATTTAACAAAATTGACTCTAACAAAGAACATTGCTACACACACGTTAACACCTCTGGCCAGTGGCCGCAAGTACGGGCCCCCGGGGCGCCCGTACATGCACTGCAGGCGGGTCCAGACACCTGGCCTCCCGCGAAACGTCCCGAATTAGCACTGGCCCCTGGGGCTGGCCATGTATGTAATCACCGCCTCACTTCGACCCTCCATGACGAGAGGGCAGCCCGAGATGCGGGCAACCAACCGACCGTCTGTCCGACCGTCTGCCGGTCTGCCGGTCTGTCCAGCAGCTGCAGGGTTGCTTGCCATTACAAGCACGTGCCGCGTGCATCGAACGCAGCCGGCCAAGGTACGATTAGACGGATAGGGGCAGAACAGATAGGGATGGTGCAGGAACCGAGGAGGGGACACCACAGAAGACGATAAGAAGAGAGGAGAGTCGCGACAGCAGCGAATACGAAGTGTATCGGTAGGATTAGGGACAGGGTAGGCCCCAGAGAGCAGAAGTTATATGAAGACCGATGATCACAAGTGCAGATTGTCGGGACAATGGAAAAAAGATCATGGGAAACTGGACTGAGGGTTACAAAGGACACAGTGAAAATGATCGTAACATCTGAGACAAGCAACCCGGTGCCAAGCATTATCAGACAGTACTAGGCAGGCTCACTTTTAATTTCAAAAGTAAATGCAATCAGAGTAGATCAGAAGATAGCGAGAGATACTTCGCATTGTGTCCAGGGGTGGACAAATGTGCCGAGTTGGGGTAGCACGAGTCTTCCCAATTCCACGCCGGCTGCGCCGGCT